ACACTTGACCGAACCACTGATACCTGTGGGAACATACAGAGAGAGAGAGAGAGAGAGAGAGAGAGAGAGAGAGAGAGAGAGAGAGAGAGAGAGAGAGAGAGAGAGAGAGAGAGAGAGAGAGAGAGAGAGAGAGAGAGAGAGAGAGAGAGAGAGAGAGAGAGAGAGAGAGAGAGAGAGAGAGAGAGAGAGAGAGAGAGAGAGAGTGAGAGAGTGAGAGAGTGAGAGAGTGAGAGAGTGAGTGAGAGTGAGAGTGAGAGTGAGAGAGAGAGAGAGAGAGAGAGAGAGAGAGAGAGAGAGAGAGAGAGAGAGAGAGAGAGAGAGAGAGAGAGAGAGAGAGAGAGAGAGAGAGAGAGAGAGAGAGAGAGAGAGAGAGAGAGAGAGAGAGAGCTGCGATAAAAAGATTTGTGACAACAGAATGTATACGCACACGGATGAGGTATTTGAACACCAGGGATGGTCCAAGCAGTTAGCCCGCGCCCCGCTGGGCTATTCAGCCATACGCGCCCTGCTGGGGGGGGGGGGGGGCAGACTCTGCCCCCCCCCCTGTCTAACTTCCGAACCGATGGTCGTAGAAAGACGGGGAAAACGGCAATCGAAAGCTCTCAACAAGGCGGATCTTAAGAGCCCAATGTTTTTTGCTTAAGTAGGTCAGAGGTCAGGTCAAGGTCAGGTCAAGGGTACAAAATGCAAGTTTCTACAGTATCGGCCTTGCACCATAGCTGCCGAAGAATGGACTGAGACTGATTGCCCAAAACGTGTTCTTAGACTACCAAGACAATATTCGTTGCATACAATGTCATTCGAAGGTCAAGGTCAAGGTCAGGTCATGTCAGGTCAGGTCACCAAAAACAAAATATAGAAAAGGGCATGTGCGACACATGTTTTATGGGTCATTTTACTCATAGAATTCAATAGGCACACTCAATAAGTGATATGGACCACCTCTGGATGAATTTCAGGTCGAGGTCAGGTCAAGGTCAGGTCAAGTGAGGTCAAATTTTGAAGTTAGTTGTTAAGGCCTAATAAAGTGTCTATCTGATGCAGTTTTTCACGGCGAATCGAATGGTGCTATTTTGTTTCCGTACGAGGTCTAGAACTTCCAAAAAAATTATTTTTCAAAATTTTTGTGTGTCGTGACGTCATAAAATTTTGAATAACCCCCACATTTTTGAACCGATTCTTCTAAAAATTGGTATGTAAGTGCACATAGACCACTTCTCTGACATAAATTCCGTTTTTTTTTCGATAGGTACACTCAAAGTTTTGGATTTTATAACTATTTTCCCAAAAACGTCAGTTTTTTGAAGAAAAAAAAAATGGGCCAAAATCCAAAATTTTCAAAAAACAGAGATAGCCATTTGATAGACAAAGTAGAATCACGTATAACCTTTTTTGTTACGTCTTGATTCCTTTAAAATGGAGATGTTAGCGGCGTTTGAAATTTTGCCGTTTTTCAGGCGAAAACGGCGAACATGACGTCACTAAAACGTCAATTTCTCAAATATTTTCCGACGGATTTCGCTGAAATTTTCAGGGAACGTGTCAAATTGATGTATGATAAGGTACTGAAAGTTTGACGTCGCTGGCGTAACGCGTTTAGAAGTTATTGGCGAAAAACGGGAGGGGGGCAGATTCTGCCTCCCCCCCAGCGGGGCGCAGGTTAGTAGGCAGGTATGCACTATGCACTCAAGGGCAAAGCGTGAGTTCTGTCATAGGTAAACATGACAAATTGAATCGGAAAAATGCACCTATGACCCCTCTCTGTGACTCTGAGATAATCTCAGGTCATGAAAGGTCACCAGCAATTTTTGACTATAACTTTTGATAGAGACGTGCTAGAGCGGTGAAAACACGTCAGATGTGTTACTGTTCAGCTCGTCGATACGGATCGACTGGTATGCAATACGACCCTTTTCATGTCAGGTCATGACCTTGACCTGAGGTCAATTTTAAAAAATGACCTTTCAAGGTCAACGTATAGTTCATTCGCCGCGTCTAGACGAGAGGAACACGATTCTGTAAAAAAATTGTTATCGTGGCTGTCTTGAGGCAAAAGTTATTACCGAAAAACATTTTTCGTGAAAACGGCTATTTTTACTCGTAGTTTTTGCCCTCAGGTGGCTGAATCTGAGAACAATGCTTAGAAAGGTCTGTAAAAGGGCTATCGAAGGCGCTTTTCAGCGGCGCTGTAGGTGTAGCTCTATTGGTTCCCGAGTTAGCCGTTGGCTGTTTCCAACATTGTTGAAATGAACTAAATCTGACCTTCGATGACCTCTGGCGACATGATCTTTGACCTGACCCAAAAAATGACCCAAGTGTTTCCATACTTATTTTTGACGCTCGTTCGAGTGCCGTTTACCGCGTGTCACTACGTGGTCCAGGAGCCGAGTTAGACGGGGGGAGGGCGTGAAAACGCCCCCCCCCCAGCACGACACGGAAAACTCAGGCCACCAGGACGGCGCGGGTTAAAGGGATTATTAGCGTTTGGAAATTGCAAGGAATCGACTTGTTTCTATTATCACTGGATTCCTCGGGATCTGGTGGTTCTAATGATATGCGTATGCAATCTATGAGTGCTTGGTTGTAGGGAAAGTTGCCAGTAATTAGCGACCTTCTTAATTTGAGTCACCACTGCTCACGCTCTATGGGTGCCACTGTATTACTCGATTGATTTCCGGAGAGATTGTTCATTTTCTATTAAAATCTATTCATTTTCTGCCCCAATACCCACAAACTTATTTGTAGTCAGTATTTCGAGAACCATTGCAAAAAAAAAACGATAATAAGGAATTCGTCCCGAATAGTGACCGGGGAGGGTCACTAATAATGATGTTAATTACGGAAAATCGGAATACCGATACCAAACCAAATACAAACCAAAACCACGGGTAAATACCGAAACCAAACCAACTTGGGAAACTGAGGGAAATACCAACTTATCACCGATTTATTAGCCTCTTATACATTAGTGAGGGCTTACGATACCAACAAAATACCAAACGCATTACGATTGAAATACCAAATACTAAGTTGGTATCGGTTTGGTATCGGTATACCTAAAAGTTGGTATCCGATTGATATCTCTAGTCACTAATAAGTGTATGGGTTTTCCCATGATAAAAATAGCAAAAAAGGTGACGCCCGAAAAGACGCAACATCAACCTATAAATGTGACATATACACAAAACACTTAATCACTGGAACAGGAGCATTTATCCAACACGTTTATGTATGTGGAAACTGATCACGTAATACACCAAAGGCGAAAATAAGGCGAAGACCATTGGGGGGGGGGAGGGGGGCTAGCTCGTATGGGCTCGCATTGGATTCGGCACCACTGCCGTCGGTGCTTCAGCAACGCCTCATTTTTCTTTTTTCTCTTTCCCCTTTCTTTCCCTTGAGCTGTTTGGGTGCGCCATCAGATACCCTCGTCACTTCTCCCCATCATAATTCATAGTCAGCGCCATTCTCTCGCACGTTCCTTACTGTTTGGCGGGCTTCTGAAACGGCTCTGAAACCAGCATACAGCGCCTCCAAAATGTTTCGAACTTTTGCGTGAGCGCTCTTTCAGGTCGGCGCAAATTTGACCACCTATCGGACAAGCGACAGGAACTGGGTTGGCTCACCGCCCGTCAGCTGTACGAGCCACAATGTCTCAATCTACTCCACAAAATTCGTCATACCGCAGCACCACAGGATATCGCTTCTCACCTTTCAGCAAACCATGAACTCCGCTGTAGATCCACCCGACAGGACGCTGTCCTGGCCCTCCCGCGCGTGAGATCTAATGCAGGTAAGAGCCGCTTCTTGAGATATGCAGTTAATCTCTACAACTCTCTGCCACGGCCTTCCGTTACGTGTTGCCAAAATGTTTGAATATTTTTTCTTCTTTCCGCTACGTAATGTTGAAGCGGAGAGGCATTGCACGCTTAGACTGGCGTCGGCACGCTCAGGGGCGCGGGAATATCTTTCCGACTGGGGGGGGGGGGGGGGCACACCATAATAGAGATCAACCTAGGGTACCCCCAAATCTAGTTTTCTCACCGGTTTTAGGCCACTTATTTTTCACCCCTCGGCCTTTTCAACAAAAAAAGAAAACATTTGCAAAAAAAGTGTGGTATTCCGTCTCAAAGCTGTGGGGGCACCACCCCCACGGCCCTAGAGTTGGGGGGGGGGGGGCAAGCTGCCCCCACTGCCCCCCCCCGGCTCCCGCGCCTATGGGCACGCTTAAAGGAACCCTCCTACCTCCAAAAAAGTTATTGAATTGGCATAAAAGTGATGCACCTTGGACCTGGTTCAAAAAGAGCAAAAATAAATATCTACCATATCTGCCCGAAAAATATTCACGGTTTTGAGATAAAGACTTTTATTTCTGAAGATGTTGGGGGCCTCCACTGCTCCTATGACGTCATTTGAAAGCAATTATTTGGTATCTTTAAAGTGCGACAGATGTTGTGCACAAGTCAGTATATACCACACGGCACACAGGGGAGAACTGCCGTTTCAACCCTTCCTATCGGCTGTAGTGTCCACGGACGTATTAATTATCGGACGTTTAATTATACCTCCGTGGTAGTGTCTAACAGAAGCGACCATATTGCGCAGACCAGAAACCGGGCGACACGCCGCCTGTGTTGGTGTTCGCAGGTGTGGGTTGAGATTTGACCATTGAGCGAACCGTGCTGTGCAGATGGAGCAGCCGAACGACCGCTCCCTCGTGTGGGTCCGCATGCGTGCGACTTGTTTTGATCGTCCAGCGAATCGTGCTATGCAGATGGAGCAGCCATACCCCCCCCCCCCTCCCCCATGTAAGATCGCATGTGTCTGTAGAGGTTAGGCCGTTGAGTGAATCGTGCCGTACAGATGGAGCAACCGTACGGCTGCTCCCCCGTGGGGGTTCGCAGATGCGCGGTGATGTTTGACCGTCGAGCGAACCGTGCCGTGCAGTGTAACCGAGTCAAAGTGTATCAGTCCGGCATCCGTATGAACCAAAAAAGTCGCTAAGTTTCCACACTGTATTCACATAAGTCGCGGAACATCACTCTCCTTCCAGTTGCAGCGCCACACCGCACAAACACGCAAGACAACTCGAAAACTCGGAGTTCTTGGTACAGTGGTAGCTAAACGATTCGGCACTGCACTTCGTTCAGAGCATACAGCTCCCGCTCCAGCCGATCAATCCAGCTACAAGCGTCATCCGGCTGATCACACGGTTCACAATCACATCTCTCACATCACCGACACTCGATTCGCAATCAATACGCTAGTTCATTCGGTGATTATTATCAAATCCAAATAATCAAAGACACAAGCAGTGGCCCATGGACACCAACCCCAGTACTAACCGAAGAAAGCTCGCTACAAAGTCGGGTTGAAGGGCCCCTATACACTAAGTCATCGCGGACCTTGTGTGACCTCGCATATGGCTGATGAGGCTTGACTGTTCAGTGAACTGGACCTTGCAAAGAGAGCTACCGTCTTCCCGTGTGGGTCCGCATGTGCCTGTTTAGGCCTGACCGTGTAGCGAATCGAGCCGGGCAGATGGAGCAGCCGAACGGCCGCTCCCCAGAGTGGATAAGCATGTGTGTCTTGAGGGCACCCCGTTTAATGAATCGTGCCGTACAGACGGAGCATCCGTAAGGCCGCTCACCCGTGTGGGTCCTCATGTGTTCGACTAGTTTTGACCGTTCAGTGAATCGTGCTGGGCAGATGGAGCAATTATACGGCCGCTCCCCAGTGTGGATACGCATGTGTCTCGTGAGGTGTCCTCGTTGAGTGAATCGTGCCGGGCAGATGGAGCAGCCGTGCGGCTGATTTCCAGAGTGGATACGCATGTGTGTCGTAAGGGTACCCAGTTGAGTGAATCGTGCCGTGCAGATGGAGCACTTGTACGGCTGCTCCCCCGTGTGGGTCCGCATGTGACGGTTGAGACTTGCTCGGTCAGCGAACCGTGCTGTGCAGATGGAGCAATTATACGGCCGCTCCCCAGTGTGGATACGCATGTGTCTCGTGAGGTGTCCTCGTTGAGTGAATCGTGTCGGGCAGATGGAGCACCCGTACGGCCGCTCCCCCGTGTGGGTTCGCAAATGTTCGGTGAGTTTTGACCGTTGAGTGAACCGTAGCGGACAGATTGAGCAGCCGAAAGGCTGATTCCCCGTGTGGCTGCTTAAGTGTGCCATGAGATCTGATCGGCCAATAAAACGTGCCGAACACACATGACATCCGTACTGTTTCACACCTTGGTGTATCTTCATATGAACCTTATAAGTCGACAGCTGGGTAGACGTAGCGGCACATTGTTCACACTGATGAGTCTTCTCGCCGGTGTGGACGAGTCTGTGTCTTGTCGGGGCACTGGTCTGTCTGGATGATTTCTTGCAGACATCACACTTGTACGGTCTCTGGCCAGTGTGTATGCGGCGGTGAATCGTCAGCTGGCGTTGCTGAGCAAACGTCTTGTCACATATATCACAGCGGTGTGGCCGCTCCCCCGTATGGATCCTACGGTGGCATTTTATAGAACTGGAGTCGTCGGTGGAGTACTGGCACCACTCGCACTTGAATCTGCCATTCCTGCCAGTGTGACTGTGACGGCTCTTATCGTGTCTGTCCAGATGCTTTGGTCCCAGACATCGCGAGTCGCAGTGGGGACACTGGACCGAACTACTGAAACCTGGCGGAACATACAGAGGGAGCTGCGATAAAAATATTTGTGACGGTAGAATTCACGCACGTACAGGTGGACTTTTAAGTGAGTAGAATTGTGCTGTCACCAAAAATCAAGATCCAGGATCCTCAAGGTCCCACGGCAAATTAAATTTCTAGAATCCAAGGTTTCCAAGGTCCCACGACAAGTATACATTGCAGGATCCGGTCCCTAAGGTCGCACGACAAGTATAAATTGCAGGATCCACAGTCCCCAAGGTCCCACGACAAGTACACATTGCAGGATCCACGGATCCACGGTTTTGTCTACATTTTTTCGTCCGACATTTTTTCGTCTGGACGAGGCGGAAAATGTCCTTACGAAAAAAATGCGAGGACTAAAAATGCACAGATGAAAAATGCGAAGACGAAAGTCTGCAGACGAAAAATTGTCCGACGAAAACCTGCTAAACGAAGAAGTTGAAGTGTCATGGAATCATGTTTTTGCTTCTTGGATGCTCATTGCTCAATGGTGCTTTGATGCCTTGCATATCAAATAAGTTTGACACTTACTTGGTCAGTGGGTAGCTTCCAGTAGCTTCAAGCCTGGCATATCACAACCCAGAAAATATGCGAGGTGAGGTGAGAAAAGAGCTTTCCAGACCACTACTGTCCACTGTTTGACAGTTTTATAATCCATATCACTGTTAATGTAAAAAGCTAGTCTCTTGTCCTGCCTCACAGCCATGACAGCGATAAGGCTCCATACATACATGTCTATACATATGTAGAGCCATGTCTCTGCATGTATCTATCTTAGCCCCTTGCAGCTGGTCCCTCAACCAAAGATATTTATTGAAGTGTTTACAGGCAAAACCTAGTGCAGGGACCTCAGGGGCCCGTGTGCAATCTAAACCTCATGGTTTAGATTCCAGGATTCTTGAAGTCCCTCAACAAAATGATGGTGTAGATCCAAACCTTTATCCTAAGGTCCCATGACAAATAATAAAACTGGGACTAAAGGTCTGCCTTCTGCAGGGTCTTGCAGCATACAAAATTTTGAGGTCCTGACCCCTGGGTTTCCATGGTTTAACGGCATATGAAAATGTTAAGATCCTGGATTTCCAAGGTCTCATTGCACATGAAATGTTGATGTCCTGGGATTCCAAGGTCTCGCGGTATATGCAAATGTTGAGGTCCTGGGATTCCAAGGTCTCACGGCATATGAAAATTTTAAGGTCCTGGGTTTCCAAGGTCTCACGACAAAAATGACAATGCAAGGTCCAGGATCCATCAAGGTCTCAGACCTTGGGCTCTGCGGATCCTGGATCTCGGACCTTTTTGGGACATTGGCACAAGTCCGCACCTGACATATGCATTGGTGAAAGAAGGTGATCTATCATTTAGTATCGCTGCGCCAGTCTCTATAGTGAGCACGTATGTGTGTGGTGAAATGTGATCGATCAGCAAACCGTGCTGTGCAGATGGAACAGCCATACGGCCGCTCCCCCGTGTGAGATCGCATGTGTCTGTTGAGATTTGACCGTTGAGTGAATCGTGCCGTGCAGATGGAGCAGCCGAACGGCCGCTCCCCCGTGTGGGTACGCATGTGACGCTTGAGACTTGCTCGGTTAGCGAACCGTGCTGTGCAGAAGCGACAGCCGTGCGGTCGTTCTCCGGTATGCACCAAGCGATGAAGTTTCATACTGTTCAAACGGTTGGTGGAGTACAGGCACCATTCGCAATAGTGCCTGCCGTTCCTGCCGATATTGCCATGAACTCTCTTCACGTGTGTGTCCAAACGATCTTGTCCCAGACATCTGTAGTTGCAGTGGAGACACTGAAGTGGACCACCAATACCTGCAGAATAAATTTGCATATTGAGGAATGTTGATAATATTTGCCGGTGTTATGGGGCGCACCAGCAACGAGGCGAAAATGTTTGTTGCCATAAGACGTTAGAAAAGGCGGTCTTGGGCGCCGTTGGAGGGGGGGGGGGGGGGGGGGGCGGGGAGCATGCCAACACAAAAGTTTCCGAATTCCAAAAACGTCTCGAATTTTAAGGGGGGGAATAAGGAGGGTCACAGGCGCAAATTTTCTATTCACTGTGTCAAGTTTACCTATACACTGACGTTTGAAAGTGATCTAGAATGGCGTTCGTCCAAAACACACGTCTTTCAATTTTTTTTTTCTCTTGATTAATAATGGAGGTCGCAAAATTGACCTGACTTTGGGTCACAGATATCTAAATTCCGAGATACACATTTTATACATACTGTTACTCTTATTCACCGCTGAAAGTTTCAAGGCGATCGTTCAGTCGGTGTAGCTATGACGAGCTTTCTAACTTTTTCCAAAGTGACATCACTTGACGTGACCTGGTGACCTGACCTTACGCGACCTGGCTCTAAAATTTTCACAACTTGTGCGGGAAAGATGCATCATTCAACATGTGTGCCAAAAACGGTAGCGTTCCGCGCCGCCGTTTTTGAGATATCTGCGAAAAACCACGGGGGGGGGGGTGTTCAAACACCTCCCCCGGCCGGGCGCAGGTTAAAAGTTATCTAACTACTTGATTTCATGACAGACACTACCAATAATATGCTTAAGCTTTGAGCTTTCGCCTTTAGGTACTAACAAAGCTTGAACGGATTTAGTTCAGTAAGTGGTGAGCTAAGGGCGGATTAGTGTTTTCGGAGATGTTTTGTATATGTAAATTTCGCATTTCTTGTTAGGCATATTCACCTCAAGCCACGATGATTATAGACATGATTGACCGTATGTATGTGCCTACCTACTCAGTGGAATGAAACATTGTGTGCTTAGACATCGATTCATGGCGTTGCCGGGCTCTGCTGACAAATTGTCTTAATTTTTCCAGACGAAAATGACGAGCGCTCTGGGATCAGTAACAATAAAAGCGGACAGTTGTAACAATGTTATAATATACCCCAAAGGCTAACATGATATTCTCTCCCAGGGGATCGCATATATAGATAATATACAGGGTGATTTTTTTAACTGTTAACCCTCGCCGGACCTATTGGTTTTCTACATACGCGCCGGCCGAGGGGGGGGGGGGGGCGGGTACGACCCCCCTCGCCGTTTCGCCCCTGGTGGAGCTAGCGCGTCGCGGAAAAAAACGAGCGTGTGCGCCGTTACGAGACGCAGAGATTGGTACCCGATTTTAAGGTCCTAGGTCAACCGGTGACCTCTGAGGTCAGGTCAAGTGCCCCAGGGTACGGTTCAGTTTTTGGTGAATAACTTCGCAAAAAACGGCCGCAGAGCCGCGATTTTGGCAGCATCGTGTTCGCCTTGATCAGGCGCGTCGAATGATATACTTTTTGTCCGGGTCAGGTCAACTTGGGGTGTTGACCTCAGGTCAAGGTCAGGTCAGCACCCCCAGGTCACTAAGCTGGTCGAAAGAGGTCATGTCGCATATCATTCGATTCGGCAGGTCTTCCTGAGTCCGTTGGTGGCTTTCCCGACTCGCTAGCTCAATTTGATCGGGAGTTATTGACGAAAAACTAATATGACCTTGATGACGTCATAAATGACGTCACGGAAGGTCAACATTGCAAGTGACGCATCTAACCTTGCAAGGAGTGCATCAAACCACGATTCTGTGTGCTTGAGATAGTTGGAGATCGTTCCCGGCGCCAGAATAGCAGTTTGAATTTTTCCCCATTGACTTATAATGGTGAGGTCACGAAAATGACCTGACCTCATATGACCTCTAGGAAAAATCCGAGATATACAAGTTGTGAGACTCATAATGGATACTAGATCCTGCAAGTTTCATTTCCCTGTGACATCTCCTCTGGCAGTGAGGGCGTTGCGAAGTTGCGACATCTGAAGACCGTGCAGAGGTTCACTTATGACGTCATAGGTCAGTGACCTGACCTGACCCAAAAATGCGGTTGGTGTCAAAAGATGCGGCTTGGATCAAAGGTCAGGTATGCCAAGTTTCAGCTCTCTATCGCCAGCGTGTTCGGAGCTATCGCGAAAAAACCCTATGGGGGGGCGGCACCCGCCCCCCCCCTCGGCCGGCGAGGGTTAAAAAGTAAACATTAATGGTGGTCCCTAAATCGAAAAATTTTGTGCAAAAAGCAATGCATGTGATAGATAAAACTGGGACATTCTGTATGGTGTCATGATTTGTCCCTTTTAACCCGCACCCCAGTGGCGGTCTCAGCCAACTTCGCCCTAGTGTGGGGGGGGGGGGGCATATGTTACCACCCACCTCTAGCTCAACTCAAAAACTAAGAGGGCTAGAAAGACGCGGTAAAAAGCAGTCGATAGCTCTCAATGCGTACGTTTAAAAGTATTTCGGTGTTTTTTCATCTTAGAGAAATATTGGGGTCATTCGAGGTCATCAAAGGTCAAAATTTGCCAAATGTCATTATATTTCTGAGAAAACATGCATTTATCTCAGGAACTATGATAGCTAGAAAAAACGCATGGAAAAGCAATCGATAGCTTTTGAACTGTTCTTTTGATAAGATCATTATCCAAATTGACCTTAGGTCAACGGTTTAGCCTCCAGAGGGCAAAAACTCCAAAATAGCTGTTTTTACGAAATGTGTTTTTCGACAATAACTTTTGACTAAAAAATAAACACAACATTTCTATTGCCAGAATCGTGTTCCTCTCGCCGAGACGCGTCGAATGAACTATAATTTGACCTTGAAAGGTCAACTTGAAAATTTGACCTTAGGTCAAGGTCATGACCTGACCGGAAAAGGTCATGTTGCATAGCATTCGATGCGTCTCAACAAGACAAACACAATGAGACCATCCCCAGCGTCCTATCTCTTTCCAATCGAGAGTTATTGGCAAAAATCTGTTTGTAGTCTCAAATGACCTCGGATGACCTTTCTAGAGGCTATCAGCAAAAAAAGATACCTTGGTCGTCACGGGTGGTCCAAATCATTGTGATTCTGAAATATTTGGACTGTTCCTATGCGTACACACGTATCTAGAGGCATTTTCATTTTTCTCCATTGACTTATAATGGTAAGGTCACGCCACTGACCTGACCTTAGGTCACGGATATAAAAAATCCGAGATATACAAATTGTAGGCACCCATAACATCATGCAATCCACCAAGTTTAAAACCTTTCTGACAAACACTGCAGGCTGGACATGATTGCAAACTTTTTTTTAGGCTTGGTCAGTTAACTTGACCTGGTGACCTGACCTGACATGACATGGGGTCAAAAATTTAACATATTGTCCAAAATTGGTGTACCAAAAGCTACCCTAAGCGGCGCGGCGCTACGCGCCGCGGTTTTTTATCCACACGCAAAAAACGCGACAGGGTGGTAACATATGCCCCCCCCCCCGCCACTGCACGATGGGACCGCAGCCGGAATTAGCGCGACATTGGTGGATTTGCCGAACTTTCCAAAATTTAGTTAAACTGTGTCGCATAGTTCAGAAATGTCAATGGACCACGGATCTGCAAATATTTTTCGTCCATGGTGTACAGCGACCACGCCACATCAGCCCAAACACAAAGTTCCGTGACAAGCATCGTAGACCCGTTTTCGTATGGAGAAAAGTAGCAGCTAATGTAGGCAAGAAAAAATATATATTAGACGGCTTTATCAATATTTTCGGGGTATAGCCTGATAGTTTAGACCATGGGCTTCACGATGGAAAGAAAAACTTTTAGCGGAATATATAAATACGCTTCAAATGTTAAGTTTTCTTAGATGCTTTTCAAATTGTGAGCTAATTTTGCTATTATAAATATTCTGGAATGCCGATAGAAAAAGTCCCGCTAGGTCCCGCTCTTCTTTTGTCTTTATAGTGTTAACCAATCAATTGCCTTTCAGAAAATGTATAGCTCAGCTGCCTCAGCCTGCCAGAGCGAAAATGAGAGGCATTTTTTTACTTCAGGTCGCCGCCGCTGGCCGTGCGCGGTTACCGCGAGCCGGCCGGAAGCTGTGAGTAACAGAACCTCAGGAGTTGTACAAGGTTGCCAAGTGCCAACTGTATTTAACTTTTGTCCGGACATATCCGTACCTGCTTTTTAAGTGTCTGATACACTTTTCTGACTCGTACTTAATTTGTTTATAGTCATGTAGGCCATCAGATTCCCATCATGGTTTTGGTGGCTACATTATTTGCTTATCGGAATTTCCGGTGCCGTCATGAACTGACCTGACAGGTGTTGCCATCTTATCACGTGACCGAACCGAGTCGAGGTCAGCGCAGGTCAACATATTAATTAATTGATTAATTAGTTAGTTTAACTACTAATGATTGATTAATTAAATTTATCAGAAATTGCTTAGAAAGTACACCGACTACCATTTGTATGATTCTATCATCCCTTTCATGTGAAAAGCGAGCACGAAACACGAAAAAGTACCGATGTCGCGCTAGATTTCGCTCCAGTCCCATTGTGCACTGGGGCGAGGGTTAACCGAAGGCCTCGGCCCCAATGAAGCCTGAAAATGTGTCACCAATCGGGCACGCATGGTCCACCGCCGTTCAGTAAGGAACGACACAAAACGATGATTTTGAAGCATTGAGGCAGTTCGAACTCGAAGCATACGATCATCAAGGAGATACCTCAGAAAGACGTTAAATAATGCACGAACAAGCTTGTAGTCATGAATAACCTTTAAACGGTCCATCTGGCGTATGTGCAGCCTCTGAAGAATCAGCCTTCAGGGAGAAACAAAAACAGCGAATCAGACACCACCAGGGCCGCCAGTAGCAAAATCCTCGACCTGCCCTTTCTAGACTTCTAGTTTTTGGACCCAGGAATGGCAGATATAACTAAGAAAACATTGGAAATATCTGGCAGAGCTGAAAATGGGTGATAGGAGCCTTTTCAGTCCGCCT